GAAATACAGCAAAAGCAGTAATATTGTGAAATATTTTTACTATTTAAAATAACTGCTTTCTATTTGAATATCTGTTAAACTGTAATTTATTTCTGTGATCAAAGCTGAATTTTCAGCATCATTACTCCAGTCTTCAGTGTCACATGATCCTTCAGAAATCGTTCTAATATGCTGATTTGCTGCTCAAAAAAAACAACAAAAAAAAACATTATTATTATTATTGCTATTATGTTGAAAACAGCAGAGGAGGTTTATTTTAGGTTTCTTTGATGACTAGAAAGTTCAGAAGGACGGCATTTATCTAAAATAGAAATATTTTGTAACATAAATGTCTTTAACATCACTTTTGATCAATTTAATGCATCCATGCTAAATAAAAGTATTAATTTCTATAATTTCATAATTATATGTAAGGTTTTAAATATACTGACCCCAAGCTTTTGAATGGTTTAGTCCAGGGGTCCCCAAACTTGTTTCTGCAAGGGCCACATAATTTCCCCTTTCTTTAATGGGAGGCCAGGTCGGTTTGTAACAGAAAAATACATGGGCCGGAGTGACTACTAGTATTATTATGGAGATTTTATTATGATTTTAAATGTATTTATTATGCCTCCTACTGCTAGAATAGTTTTTTGTTATGCACCGTACAGACAAATGATTACTTTTCAAGAGACATATAGACATCTTCATTGAATGCCTTTTGATGTTTGGGTATGTCTCGATAGGGAGGGCAGCATAGAATTCAAGGAGACCGTTGGGCTTAAATGCGTCTTTCAGAACATCACAGTTCTGTAACTCAGCCAACTCAAACTGATAAGAAGGCAGGGCTTCATCAATGTCGGCAGCAAAGAAAAGGCGGATTTCTTTAGAGTGGACATGTAGCTCACGGAATCGCACGTCAAACTCCGCCTTCAGCATTTCCAGCGCTTCCACGGACTTTTCAGCTGGGAATGGAGCCACTGGTTTCTCAGCTGAGAGACTTTGGGTAACGGGGAGATGAGTGAAGTCTTGCTTTTGCACTTGTCCCACAAGCAGTGCTAGTTTCACCTCAAATGCTTTTATGTGGGAATACATGTCACATATTAGTTTCCCCTTGCCTTGGAGCTGCAAGTTGAGGCCGTTCAACATTTCTGTCACATCTGTTAAAAAGGCGAGGTCCCATTTCCATTCTGCGTCGATCAGTTCTGGGACAGTTTTGCCCTTTGTCAGAAGAAAGGCGTTGATTTCGGGTAGCAGCTCATAAAAACGCCTCAAAACGCTGCCCCGGCTTAACCATCGGACTTCAGTGTGGTAAAGCACATCTCCGTGAGCAGACTCTAGCTCGGCGAGAAAGGCTTGGAACTGCCGGTGTTTAAGTCCGTTTGCTCTGATGAAGTTTATGCATGACACCACCACCTTCATGACTGATTCCCACTTCAGAACTTTGCAGCAGAGTGCTTGCTGGTGAATCAGGCAGTGGACTTGTAACGGTGGAGTTAGACCTCTTTCCTCCATTTCTTTATTCATGCGTCCTATAAGCCCCCTCGACGCGCCAACCATACTAGGAGCCCCGTCAGTAGTGATGCTGGCCAGCTTAGACCAGTCTAGACCCAGCTCTCCCATCGTTTGGCACACTTTACCAAAAATATCCTCCCCTGTCGTAGTGCCTTTTAGACTTTGTAGGGCTGCTAGCTCCTCTGACACTTCAAAGTTTGAGCTAACTCCGCGAAGAAAAATTAGCAGCTGTGCTGTGTCCTGTACGTCATTGCTCTTATCCAGTGCTAATGCAAAAAAATCTAATTCTTTCACTTTCTCCTGCAGCTGGGCATATACATTATCCCCCATTTCTTCAATTCGTCTGGTGACTGTACTTGCGGACAGACTCACCGCATTTAAGACATCTTTCTTATCGGGGCACACCTCCTCAGCAACAGCATTCATACATTTCTTGACGAACTCGCCGTCACTGAATGCCCTACCGCTGGTTGCAATCAGCTCGAACGGATGACTGGTTCAGCTGGGTTTGGCTAACAAATGTATTCTGCTGAGCTGATAGTACACTTTTTAGCTTCGACACTTTGTCTGCTCTCATTTGGCCTTGCAAGCTAGCATACTTTTCTCTGAGGCGGGTTTCAGTGTCGGCGCAGATTGTATTCTTTGAACACAGACACTGTTTCTTGACAGATGAGACAAACAGCCACTTCTTTGCACTGAACAAAAAAATAACCACTTGTCCACTTTTGGTTAAACACCATGCTTTCTGAATCAACCTTTCTCTTTCCCAACCGTTTGGCCATTTTGTCGTCTCTTTGAATTTTTTTGCTGGTTCACGCGTCACCTGTTCGATCGCGATGGTACGTTATGTTGAACGTACCATTCTGTTGGTAGGTGAATTTAACAAATAATTAGGCTACGTTAATAACCAAGGGAAATGTTAGTCTGAAAGCCAATATTTATTATCGAATATAGACATGATATAAGTGAAACTGTATATTTAAAATTACATTTTCAAAATATGTCTCTGGCATTGTTCAGAGGGCCGGTCCAAATGTGGGGGTGGGCCACATTCGGCCCGCGGGCCGTAGTTTGGGGACCCCTGGTTTAGTGTATAATGTTACAAAAGCTTTTTATTTCAGATACATGCTGATCTTTGGATCTTTCTATTAATCTAAAAAACCTGAAAAAAATTTACTCAACTGTTTTAAATATTTATAATAATAATAAAAATGTTTCTTGAGCAGCAAATCAACATATTAGAATGATTTCTGAAGGATCATGTGACACTGAAGACTGGAGTAATGATGCTGAAAATTCAGCTTTGATCACAGAAATAAATTACATTTTAAAATATATTCAAATAGAAAGCAGTAATTTTAAATAGTAAAAAAAAATATATATATTTCACAAAATTACTGCTTTTGCTGTATTTTGGTTCAAAAAATATATACACACACATGTTACTGATACTGTAAGAATTAAACTATTACCTTTGAATGTCCAAGTTACCGGCTGTCTCCTGGTACTCCAGGGTGAATATGTAGTATGCTGTGAACAGAGTGGCAAGGACAGACAGGAAGTTGAGCTGGATTAACTCATTCTTTTAAACCCAAGTTAAAAAGAGGCATTACAAACAAACAATGCGAAAATTAGCAAAGGTCCTCAAGTACACATCTCGCTTGTTAAGTTAACAGCACCGTTCAGCACGGCACACACATCCTCCGTGAGCGGGCTGCCGCTGACCGTGAGTCGCGAGACTTTAGCACGCGTTTTCATTTCGGTTCTGTGTTAACAGATTACTACAAATTCGATTTAAAATAATCATGACAAAGTGTGCTGATCAACACGTGGTTACCGTGAATATCAACTATTGTCACTGAAGCATGTAATTCTTAACATAGGAACCCAGAGATTTTCTGCCCATAGCTGCTATGAGGCCGGGTAATGTGTGAAATCCTACCGCGCCCATGCTCCCGAAACCCAGCGCAAGTCTCCCTCGCGCCCTGCGGACGGAGGATGCGTGAATCCGGGGTTACCAATATGAACTGTGAATGTAGATACCTTCATATACTACTACAGTTACCAAACATGAAAAATAAAAAACTGAAATAAGTCACTTACCACAGTTGTGAATCATTCCTATTGCCGCTCCCGAATCTCAACCGTTGAAGATCCCACCTCTGTAGATTTTAAATTTACAGCAATATGCTGTACATTTGCGTCAAACGTCACGCGACCCCAGAATGCATTGCAGTTTACAGCAATATGCTGTATTATTAGAAAAACAGCCTGCTGCTGTAAAATATTGCTGTAATTTTTACAGCAATTTGTTACAGTAAAGGTTAAATGACCTGCAGTATATTAGCATTATATAAGTCATAAATATGGAATGTTTGAAGGTTTGTATGAAATGATCGTTCCAAGATGGCAGACATGTTGACATATCCAGAGCAACTGAATACTGATCTCAGCGTAGGCCGAAAGAGTGAACTTAACTAAATCAAAATCCATCCTAAAACCCTATAACCGTCCTCCCCCATCAAAGGTTCAAAACAGCCAAGCAAAGGTTTTGAAGATGAATATAACGATTTAAACAAATGGACCAATTGTCACAAACAAACGAACCCACACTTACCATGAGCAGACCAGTTCCAATTATCACGTACAGACGAATCGAACAAGCAGACGAGTCCTCCAATTTTTTTACGGATAAACAAACCCACAATTTTCATAAACGAACAACTGGACAAACAGACAAGCCCTCAATTTGCCACACATCACATGCAGACAATTCGTTACAAACCTTTTGTAAGGAGCCTTTAACTCATTACGACAAGCCTTCAATTGTCACAATCCGGGTGTCACGATCGGACGAGCCCCCAATTGTTACGTTCTCCCCAGTCTAGGGTTGGGGATAGCGAACAAGTAATTTAAAATGAAGATAATTAAGCAACAATACTCTCCCCTCTCCTGTCCCAGCTCACACACAGAAACACAACGGAGTGAGAGTAAATCAAATAATAAGCTTTTAATTCACAAAGTATCATATAACAGGAAGCGTGAATCTTCAGGAGGGGTCAAGGCCAAAATAACAAACAAAAGAAGAACTAACTAAAACATTAATTAGACAGTAACTTACCTAACAAATCAAAACCCAAACAAAATACAATACTCTCCCCTTACTCCCTAGCTGTCAATAAACAGGAGATAACGAGGGATCATAAAGTAAATGGCAACCTCCTCCCTACGGCTTCCGAAACAAACACAAATTAATAACACCGGAACAAAAGACTCTCACTCAGAATGGCAGCAACCCGTCACCTATCACAAGACCACAGGTGCATTGAATGTCTGGGGCAGGAGACGGTGGGCAGTAATGGCAACGACCAACACCGCAGAGCTCAGCACGCCGCTCTCCACACGCGCTCTCTCCCTGCTCTGCTCGCACCCAATGCACACAACGCTCACGCTCGCTCGGGCTCAGTGCTCCTCTTCCTTCTCAGCTTTTAACCACTCTCACTCATCCACGTAAATCAGCTGCAGCTGCGTCAGCTGCGTCCTGCGCAGAGTGAAAGGGAAAAAGAGAGAGAGAGAGAGACGGGAAACGGCACAATGCATAGAACATCTCTGCATATTGACCAATCAGAATAAACAATAAAAACACTTAGGTCCGGAGGACATAACAATATTAATATGTCTGGTCAGCAATTCCTCAATATAGTGTATTTTTACACACAAATGGCCTTTGTTTCAGATTTAGAGCCAACTGTGCACATTCTGAAGTTGATGCTTTAGTATGCAATATTTTTAATAGATTAAAAATTAAGTTACAGTTTGAACGAGTCTTTTCTTCTGTCAGGTTTAAGTTGCACTGGCCTGTTAGTGGAATATGGCCATTGTGCCCTGTTTGAGAAACTCATTAATAATCAGAATTCTGGGTACCACTCAAAACCACTGGCATTCGTCTCATCCAAATTTTGCACCAAACGAATCCAAATGTGATTAATTGCTTTTTCCTTCCTTGGCCATGTGATGGTCTGCTGAATCCTCATCTCATCTCTGCATTTCCACACTAACTTTGACCAGCTTTCCTCTCACCCCACCCCCTTCCATTACCCCTCTTCTTCCATTTTTGTAACATAATTAGCTTTCATTTTTGAACTGCGCTGGGGATTTCTAATGCTAATCTCTCTGTCCTAGACCTCTTAACTTCTTTAAACCTCTTTTCCTACCAATTGAGAAGTACTAGGGTTGAAACAGTGCTTGCCTACTTCATTATCAACATTTTGAATTGAGCTTCACTTGTGCTATAAATCTCTATTAAAACCTGCATTTGCATGGTGCACAGACTGAAAATAAGTTCTCTATTTAGAAAGATTCAAGTGATTTCCCCAAACATGGCAATTAATTGCCTTCCACAGCTCAGGGTTATTTTTTGAGATATCACTGTCGAGTTGTCACAACCCGGTTGAAGTGAGTGCTAGCAATAGGAACGCATTATCGGAATAACTGAGATAGTAGAGGGATAACTGTGAACGATATTGAATATTTGCACTGAACACAGAACAACCCAAAAATTAAAATTCTGTCATCAATTATATACCCTTATGTCATTCCATGTCATGCCATAAGAATTTTGTTCATCTTCAGAACAAAATGGATAATGTTTTTACTGAAACCTGAGCAATTGCTGTCTCACTATCAAGTCAAGTCAAGTCACCTTATACAGCGCTTTTAACCATACAGATTGTGTCAAAGCAACTGTACAGCATTAATTAGGAAAATAGTGTGTCAATAATGCAAAGTGACAATAGCCATCGGCGACAGAATGGAGAAAAAAACCTTGGGAGAAACCAGGCTCAGTCGGGGGGCCAGTTCTCCTCTGACCAGACGAAACCAGCAGTTCAATTCCAGGCTGCAGCAAAGTCACATTGAGCAGATTTAATTTAGGTCTTTATTTAGATGTAAACATTGGTCAATGTGCATTAATTACATAGAGCTCATCAAATATGGTAAAGAGAAGCTCAATCATGCTTGCTTGACACACAATTTGCAATCTCTTTACGAACTTTCTGAAACTTCAGAATTTTGGTGTAATGCAGTTTCAATCAAACATCTCTCAAAATATCTTTCTTTGTGTTTCAAAGATAAATGAAGGTCTTATGGGTTTGGAATGATAAAACTTTTGTTTTGGGTGAACTTTCCCTTTAAGTCTATGATACGCTTCATTTTTCAGTCTGCCTTTAGTTCTAGTTCTGAGTATTGTCAGTGAACTTGTGTGCACACATTCAACACATGGGCACTACGACTGTTTTGTGATTCTAATTCATGCCCCGATGTGAATTTTGTACCACGTTTTCATTTAACCAAAAATACTGTAACTGTAAATAAAGTTTTGTAATTAAATTTGGGCAATTAAATCAGGCGTTGTGTTCTCCGGTAGTAAATTTTTTTGGCAACAAGCCACCTCAATATTTCAGCCAAACAAATTTTTCATATTGCTGCTCTACCATCATTTTTGGGCACAGGGACTTGCGTCCACACTGCTGACGTGTTTACCTATAGTAGCTTATCCACACTTTTACACGCTATCACACAATCCGCTCATACAGAATAGATACTAGAGACACTTCTCATTGGAGAAGTGCTAATTAAACAGCAATGATTTTGGCCTTTCAATATTATTTCTTCAGAAACTGTTTACTTAAACAATGTAGCATGTAACCACTGAATATTTTTTTAGCTTTATCATGTCCTGTTGAAACATCATAGTACAGCCAGCACCAGTGTCCCACATTTAGCAATACAGGACGAAACGCCTGTGACATGCTTTCCCATCTCCGTATCACGCAACAGCTGACCCCATTACAGTATTAATGAAACTATTAATGAAACCTAACTCTCAGTCCTGTAAACACTCATACCCAGATTGCTTGTGACTAACGGCTGTCTCTCACGATCACTTGTGTGGCTCTTTAAACAGAAAGTGACGGCACAAGAGCAGGAGATAAACAACCGAGTCCAGCAGTTGCGTGGCAGTGAGGAAGAGTGCGGTCTAATGAAGAAAGAACTGGCAGCTCTGCAGCACAGACTGGGGAATAAGAGTCGACAACTTAAGGTTTGGACAAATTTCCACTGGCACCACTTTTAAAGCACTGCCTCTGTGCCTGTGACACCAGGAAGAGAGGGAGGGAAAAAAAACTGACAAGCCCCTGGAGGCAATTGCCTAAGGCCTCCAAATCCCGGGTCGCGGGCAGGGACGGCGAGGGCGGGGGTGGTAGCGACAGCGTAGCTCGGAAAAGCAGCTAACTTTCTCAATAAATACTTAATGATGGCCGAGCAGAGGAAAGAGT